CCGTTCCCTCTAGCGCTGTGCCATCAGGCCCGTTGTAATTACAGTTGCTAACTGGGTGTGGGATATTCGGATTGAGAGTTAACAGGGGTATTTCCCAACTCTCGCGTTGCACACCAGTTTATTGTATAATTTACTCACTTAATATTACCAGGTAAGGCCCATTGAGCTATATAGCTCGTTTTCAGAAGCGACCTGGCCACAAATGATAGGTCAATGAAGTGGCTTATCATGTGGAAATGTAAAGCAGTTTCTAAAGTTGAAGGGAAAAACCAGAGGCCCCGGAGAAAAATCCACGCGACAACGGGGAGAGAGACATGCAACTCCAAATATACAGCAGGCGTCAGGATCGGACCCACGACCTCCTGCATACCAGACGAGGAAGTTAACATCTCATAGCCACCGTGGTGACGATGAGAGAGACGCAGACTCAAAATATACAGCAGCAGACGTCACGGTCGGGATCGAACCCACGACGTCCTGTATAACAGGCGAGGTAGTCAACATCTCCTTGCCACCTTGATGATAATCAGAGACGCAGACTCAAAATATACAGCAGCAGGCGTCAGGGTCGGGATTGAACCCACGACCTCCTATATACCGGGCGAGGTTGTTAACATCTCCCCCTGTCGCCGTCGCATGGAGATGGAGCGATGAAATCAAGCGTCGTGCGCCAAACTGGATCGTTCACGTCGCGGCACCGTAAGAGGCTTGAGGAGGCCTTCATCTAGCAGTGGATAGATCGTGGCTGATGATGACTATAGAGATGTGTGTTTGTGTTCATGGGGGGGGGGATGTTCAAATAACACATTCCTGCGGAGGGAGCTGGTAGGAACGTTGCGTTGCTCGGTCAATGGCCAGGGTCAACGGAGGCGTGGTGTATTCCGCAAATATGCCCGACTGTGAGGGAGGGCACAAGCCGGCGTGAGTAGCCGGCGTGAGTAGGTTAAACTTTGAGTTTTATAAGGGCACCACGGGGTGACCAGCCCCTCCCCACCCAGCCTCACCCCCCCCCCACGCAGCTCCGCTCCACCCCCCCCCACCCAGCCCCACCCCCCCCACCCAGCCCACCCCCCCCATCCAGCCCCACCCCCCCCACCCAGCCCCACCCCCCCCACCCAGCCCCACCCCCCCCACCCAGCCCCACCCACCCCCCCCACCCAGCCCCACCCACCCCCCCCACCCAGCCCCACCCACCCCCCACCCAGCCCCACCCTCCCCACCCAGCCCCTCCTCACACTCCCCACCCTCCCCACCCCGCCCCTCCCCTCTCCACCCAGCCCCACCCCTCCCATTTTTAGGATTCACGACGGACGGACACAATAATCCCATGTGGGCTGGTGTCACCAGGTGATTCCTACCAGTATTAAATTGCTTAAAAGTGTCACAAAGGCCACAGTTACAAGGGTTCCGTTAATGGGATTACAATTGCACGAGTCTCCATTGAAGGGGTCCCGATGACACGTCCCTAGAAATGACGATAACGGGTGCTCGAGGCAGACGTTGATGTCATAGTGGGTGCTTGTGCCAGGCTAGGTGCACCCCGAGGGATCACGCCCGAGAGACGGAGCGGTGAAATCGGCTCGTGCGTGCAGCAGTTCGGGACGGAATGGTCCGTGGCAAGGCCGCGAGACGGTGGCACGGCCCGGCTTTCGGAGGCCCTCATCCAGCAGTGGATACATCGCGGCTGCTGCTGCTGGTGGTTTAAAGGGGCCATTCACCTCAGGTCTTCCGTGCCGGTCTCAATGCCGAACTCATTCAGCAGCTGCTCCTGGCAGAACTGCATCAACGCGGCGTCCATCGCGACCAATGCGCGCGAGTTTACAACTGTGACGGAACAAACAACAACAAAAACAACAACACAAACAACAACAAAAACAACAACACAAACAACCAATGCGAAACGGCCGCTCGAGTCAAGCGACGCCTTTAGGAGGCCTCAGCTGCGACCCCGGAAGTGGTTGAGTGGTGACTTTTGACCCCACACCCCGTGGTGGTGGTGGGGGGGAGGGGCCTCCAGACCGGAACACGTGGGCACGCACGCCGGCCGGCTCGCGCACGTGGTAACGCGCTGGAGCATATTTGTTACACGGCAGCTTCGGGTACATTACGGTACTCGGGGGCTTTCGGGAATTCAGCTTGGTTCAATGTTGACAATTGCATTTACTGCACCTCGCGTGCAGACAAAAGCGTGCCACCGGTACCGCGTAAACAAATGACCCCAAAAAACAGCCATTGCACCAATCGTTGCGTTGCTTTCGTGAGCCATGTTACTCCGATGGAAATTATTGTGTACTTGTCTTTCCCGAAGCCGCAACAAACGCAACACATTCGTCAATAACACTGCCTTAAAATTAAATATACCAGTAGAGTATATGCCGTTAAGGACCATTGCCCGTTGCCTTTATTTTAAAAATGTAAGGCTTCATGTGCTTGTTGCACCACTGCTAAATAATGTCAACACCATTGATCATAGGGGCACCATTGGGTGTCTCGGTTACCTCCTCGCTCCACCACTTCTTGCCCGTCCTTCCCAGCCTTTCGTCACGTGCTTTACTGGGTCATCAGTCCCAGGTGATCTCATTTGTCATCCAGTTGATCTTGGGTCGCCCTCTCCCTACCACCATGTCCCTGTAATATGATCTTGTCACGTATCCAAATCATTGGGAGTTTGTCGGAGGTCGCTTCAGCGTCTGCTGTGAGCAGCTGCGGGATCTGGCGGAGCGCAGAACGCGTGGGCGCGGTGCGATGGTGGTGGTGGCGGCAGGGCTGTGTTATCCAATAGGGTACTGTGTCCAAGACCAACTCATCCAACCACTCACCCACCAGGGCCGTATTATCCAACAGTCCACAGTTGACACTGTGCCAAGGGGCCTACGAAAAAAATGTTTCGCCAACATATTCTTGAATAAATATATTTATATAACAAGAATATGCACATTGTATATACAAAGAAGTAGTCATGTCAACCATAATAGAGGTATTTGGGTTAGATCGCGAAAATATATAAATGTGTCGTTAAAACCCGCCACCACCCGACAGTCAACTAGTAATGGTTGTCACGTAAACATAACAGAATATTGGTCGCGAAAGCCGACGTGCTAATCAGTCATGTCAATTTTAATATTTCCCATAACGTGAGAGAAAATAACACCGGAGATGAACATTTTGAGATTTTTTTCATTGCAAAATTTGCAATGACATCTTCAAATGGTGCTTTTCCGCACAATCTCATTCTAAACAGAGAGCAGTGCAAGACGGTCATTGTCATACGCGTGACACGAGCGAGTGACAGCGGCGGTAGTAGTAACATGGGGGAGCAGTTGTCATTGAAGCCCTGGGGTCTAAGATAACTTTAATACTGGTAGAAACCTACTGGTTACACCAGCTCACAGGTGATTGTGTCCGTCCGTCCGTCGTGCAGGGAGGGGCTGGGTGGGGAGGGGCTGGGTGGGGTGGGGCTGGGTGGGGAGGGGCTGGTCACCCCGTGGTACCCTTATAAAACTCAACGTCTACTCACGCCGGCTTGTGCCCGCCCTCACAGTCGGGCATATTTGCGGAATACACCACGCCGCCGTTGACCCTGGCCATTGACAGAGCAACCCAACGTTACTACCAGCTCCCTCCGCAGGAATGTGTTACTGCCCTGGGTGGTGGTTGTGGTGGAGGCAACAATCAGTCCTGGGTTTATGTTCTCACGCCTTTTTTCTGAAAACGTATTACCCCCACGATCTTGTTACTTTTTTAAACATAACTTGCACAGTAGGTTGACGAGGGAAGAGAACGATCCATCCGACAAACATTTTTACAATTTTATTTGTTGAAATAGGACACTTCTAATAAAAAAAAAAGTGCCTTCAGTTGCAGTTTCTAGATTCTGCAATTTCAATTAAAGTGAAGCGTGTTCTTTGACAGTTGTTTCGACAATTTAATTTAGGGACATGGCCTCTGTCTGAAAATGTTGGATTTCAGATTTAAATAGCTTGAACGTCATACGACTTAACTGCTGGTACTAAATGTATTAATCCCGTCCTTTGTCAAGTCACCGAGGTGGATGAAAGCCTCCCCAAGCCACGTCAGCTATAGGGGTTGCTTGACCATACTTCCCTTCGCCGGTCAATGCTGGGTTGGCGATGGGACGCCAGTTCAGGTCTCACTCGCCATTGATGTTAGTTGACACACTCAGGTCCCTGGATTCATAGGGCAGTGCGATAACCAATATTCACCAGTGGTAATATAGAGCAACATTTAGTTTGGATTAATAAAGAAAATGTGCAGGTTTATGGATGAAAGGCTATTCTGGTACGATTGAATTTTCTTTTTAAGTTTATTGAAAAAATGCACGTTACCTTCGAATGCGTTTCCAAGGTGCTCAAGGGACTGGCAGGATTGAGTCGTTTTTAACACACCATCACCATCCAACTGTCCACATCCAGATGTTCAGGCAGTTAAGGTTCTCCCTGTACACATATACAGGATCCTTGAAGACAGTCGGCCAAAACTGTCAAGGTCTGCCCTCTCATTGACAGGGACTAAAACCCTGTTGCTCTTCATAGCACCTCCGATAAGCACGGTTGGCTACGTACGATGCTAAAGAAGTTTCAACATGAACACACTACAAGTAAAACCCAGGGGGGGTGGTCGAACAGCTGTTGGGAGCACCGCGCAATGAACCCAGCACGCCTTGGGTTGGATCCCGAGCCTCGGCTTCACGTCAGTGGGAAACGACATCTGAACGCGTTCCCGCCCTGCCCCCCCCCCCAAGCAAAGCAGCACCAATCAGTATGGCGCGGGCATTGTCAAACGACCGACATGGAATGAGACCTTGATCAAGCAGCAGATTGACAATGAACTGAATATCATGGTTACTGCATACAGCCCTTGGTTTTGTACAAGTTGACTTAAGTTGTAAATTAACACCAAAAACTGAATTCTGTTGACACGCTGCATAAAGTGTGAACATGACACGGTGTACGGATTAAAGTACAATGTGGACGAACGGGTAGTTTTATTGTAAACATCTTTTTTTAATTGATTTTAATGTAATGGAACAGTTCTACAGTATAATGCAACATCTTAGTATAGCAGCGCAATATACACACGTTTCCAAACGATTATAAAACCAAGAAAACAAACTTACCGTCTCTTGGCTACAATCAGAAATATGTCGCACCCCCTGATTTGCTTGATGGCCGAGTGCTCTGACTATTTACCAACCAAAATAGGAGAAAGAAAGAAAACCCAAAATAAATCATTTACATTTTTAAAACTACAGTGATGTTGAAAAGCCTTGGTTTTGTCTTTGTACGTCACAACCGACACACACAATGATCCGCCAATAAGCATATGTAACTTAAACATGCAGTCAAGTTCCATACGATGTTCGTTGTATACAGGGATTCAACAGCAGTCACTTACACCCCCCCCCCAACTCCCTTCCCATGTCAATGAGTCTCTCCCACACCACCAAACACAAACAGCCGCCAAGCTGCCCTGCGTGGAGACCCACAGAGACGTTTCCATCCCATTGTTTTCTTTCCCCCATTGTCTTGAAGTTGCCAGCCACTTTTTGTAAAGGAAGATGTGTGAAGAATGTTATGTTTAAATAAATTCAACGTGTTTCTTGTATCGTGGACTTATCAAAGATAAACTTGGTAACGTACCTTTTGTTCAGCCAGTTTAAATTGTTATTTTATTCCTGCTTTTTCAAAATGTTACTTCTCGTTCATGCGACCCGAACATCATAATTCTCATGTCAATTTAGCCTTTTTTTTACACCGTGAGCAAAGACATTTCAGCCGGGGACAATTTGCCCATTTTTATCTACACGACGTATTTGGTCAAAATGTTATTAAAATTACAAACTAAAAAAAATATTACGGACACAAAATGCACAGCACAAAACTTCACTATCCAGAAACTAGGGTTGTTAAAATTAACTGGTTAAGCAACTTCTAAATGCCACGCCCCTTTAACACATGTAACGGACGTGCCAGATGTACTGCAATTACTGAATACAACCATTCTAAAGTGTTCAACTTAGACATTTTTGCATTTCTCTTTTTAAAAAAATTCAACTTTATTAATGCAATGTGAATGACAGCCCACAGTAAAGTATCCTCCTGCAACGCCTCTACTGCTAACATAGTGCAACAACTGGGTTTTAGTACTCGCGTTAAAACCCGGTTCTCATACGGCGGTCACCAACACCACTCCAACTTGGTGCAAATGAACTCGTTCCAACCTGCGCCGGGCACTCGGAAACTTTTACAATTCTGTGGGGGGGGGGGGGCTCTGCCCCCCTTCCCCCTCAAGGAAACAGTGGTTGAGGGGTCACGTGGGAAAGCCGGAGCCCGAGGCCGGCACCAAGAGTTCAACTAATAAAGTTGCCCGAGTGCTCGGCACGGGATCGAGTTCGTTTGTACCACCAAGCCTGAGTGTGCTGGTGACCCCAACGTATAAAGAATCAGCAATTTAAGACCAGCAGTAGACTGGGAGGGGGGCAACAAGAAGTTGGCTCTAGAACCGGCCGTAAACCGAGCCCGAGGTTGCACGGCGACGACTGTGCGTATCTCTGGGGGGGGGGGGGGAACCGGGGGGGGGGGACCGGGGGGGGGGGTACCGGGAGGGACTCCCCACCACCCGAGTCTGAAGCTGGTGGTTGGAGCAAGGTCTGCCCGACTCTTTGAATATTTTACGCGGCGTGAAATAAAAAAAAGTCTCAAGAAAAACAGGCGGCGTGAAGATGACGCTGGGTTTTCTGCACCGCTTCACATGCATGCCAGGACGACACAGTGCTGCCAGGCACATCGAAAGAAAAAAAAAACAGTTGCTTACAAACATCGCCGGGTGTGATTGCGTGTTCCACTATAACCCGAGCCGGAGGGAGGAGGGGGCACGTTATACCCTTCTTTACACAACAAAAGGTTTAAATAAAACTGCGACAAGTTCGTGGTGTCCTCCGCCAACATCGTAATTTACTCTGGTGCTTTCTGCAGCCTGTACTTTTCGTCTTCGGTTCAGAAACAATTTCAGGACAACAGAACGGCACAGCCAACAACTATAACACATTTGAAAAATATTAAAATTAACAAAGGGGTGATGGGAGATGGGGGGGGGGGGGTAGGGGCTGGGTCAGTGGGGGTGAGGAGTGGTGGATGGTACGGCAAAGCAAAGATCACAAACAAAAGTAATGCAGAACGCTAGAAATGAGCTCAAACGACGCAACCGTGGATCTCGCGTCAAGTTTCGGGTTGCTCACACGATAGCGATGGTCTAAGGTCCTATGGAAGGAGGTCACAAGCTGCGGTCCCAAGTCGGCAGGGTTTGGCCGAACCCTGAACGTGGGACCAAACAACGCCTTTTTTTTTCGCCATCTTAAAATTATTTCAGTCTCTCCGCGTCCGTCTTCCGAGGAGGAGGAGCAGCGACGATCGCTCTTCAGCACAAGTTAACATCAACCCACACATTTTAATTTTTCCGCACGGGGGGAAAAATAAACGAGTCAACTTGGAGTTTTTCATTTTCCCCTTTTCACTTTGCCGCCTTCTCCCGTTCGGCAGGTTGGTCTTGAAGGATTTTCTAAGGCGTCTAAGAGCGCGGTCCGCAGGTTTATTCCTATGCCCTGGGTCGGTCAACGCCTTAAATTTCTTTTTCCCGCGTCGCGAGAAAACTCGTGCGTCCGAGCATCGCGTACACAACACCACCCCCCCCCCCCCTCCTTCCAAAAACGACGAGCGAGGAAGTTCCAGAACGGGAAAGTCCAGTCCGGTTCTTGAAGACGGCCCCGTAGGCCCCCACGAGCGGGACTTGGGGGGGGGGGGGATGAGATGGCCTGGGCTGGCGGACGGCGGTGAAAGTGAAACGCACGTCCCACGGTGCGGGGCCGATGTCCGCAATCACTTGACTCGCTGGATCGATTTCTTCTTTCGCCTCTTGAAGAAGCAACAGCACCTGGGGAAGGAGAACAAGACGCAACAGTGCGGTTCTTTGTGAGGAAGACGTTACGCAAACCACTAATGTCTCGTACCTTTACTTTGTTAATCGAGTGAGAACTCGAGAGACAAGGATAGTACTAATTTGCAAGAGCGACCTGGATTTTTGCAGACACGTGTCCAGCAGATACAACGATTAAACTCCCCCAATTATTCTGCGGCTCGTCACGATTTATTTTTTGCCTTGTTTATGACGACAGCATTTCACCCCTGCAGCCACTAGAGGTGCTTCACGCACCATAATGGTCGAACATTTAATTTAGAATCGTGACTTCACGTCTAGCGGGGCGGGGGTACAATTTATTTAATCGCTCGGCAGGCGTACGTAGTTGGCAGAGCCAGGCCACCGCATCATTGTCAGCAGTGCCGAGTGCTCTCTCCACGCAGCCTGCTCGGAGGGGAGTCCTCCAGATCGTGCGTTTCAGACTGCACTTGTGCACATTTACGACTGTGCAGGGCTGCATCTTGTAATAAGTCATTCGTCATAACTGTGGTCTTAATTTATCGCTGGATATTTTCCGGGTAGCTGGCAGACTGGAGCAGGCTCAGAGGCGGGATGTGACCACAAGCGCAGCCATATAGGGCATTGGCGTGGCTTAGCGGTAGCGGGCTTCGCTCCTTCTTTGCAGAGGTTCACGGTTGGGAATCCAGCGGCAGCCCCGTGTATTACCGTGGGTGTCATAACCACAACAACGTACGCCTCCGTGTGCTTCCTTCACGGTAGATAAACACAAAATTAACTTCATTATACAAGCAAGATATAACACAGTAAGCTGTGGTGTGGAAATATTTGCTGGGTTGCCAAAGCGGAATAAATTGAAGCCCTGGTCATAAACATATTCCACAAAATAAAAACCCTGGCATGAGTGGTACAGCCCAGGTGGAAAAGGCTAAATGAGGGGCAGGTGGTGGATGGAGAGCTGGAGGGAGGGGAGGGGAAGGAAATAGTAAAGGGGGGGAGGAAAGAGTAAAGGGGAGGATGAGGAGGTGGAGATGGAGGGGGGGCCCACTTGGTCTCGTCCACCATCTCGGGCTCGGGCTGTGCGGTGATGGGCGCGTTGGAATGTCCCGCCGTCGGGTCGTCTGTATTCAGCTCCCCGTTCGTGGAGCTCACCACCTGCACCAGGGTCCAACCCGATGGGAATCGGGCAGGAAGGGGTGGTGGGAAGTGGATGGTGCGTGCGTGGGTATGCACGTGCGTGCGCGCGTTTGAGTGCGTTCGTGTGTGTGTTTTTGTGCGAGTGTAGAGTTTGCGTGGTTGTATGCGTGCCCGCATGTGCGAGTGGATGTTTGCGTGTGTTTATGTCGGTGGGTGGGTGGGTGCGTGAGCAGTGATGGTGAGAGAGGATCGAGGCACACCTTTGAGGAACAACATAAAACAACCGCTCGCCCAACAAAAAGAGAACATTGCCCTGGGGGGGGAGGGGTGACGAACAGCTGCTCAACCGGTCTGGAGGGCTTTTTTCCAACGAGGAAACTTTACATGTCTTGTTGCCAAAAGGAAACGCGGTGGTCGACGGCTGTACGACGACCAGTCGGGGGCCCGACTCGAGCCGCGAGCACATTTGCCACACACTGTACCACAGAATCGGCGTGAACTTCCTCGTGGACCACTATTTTTAGCTACCTGTGTCTGCGACGCGGCAGCGACGCGCGCGCCCGAGACAAACCGGTTTTCCCGGAGACCTCCCCACTTACACAGCCCCCCCCCCCAAGCCCGATGGCAGGGCAAGTTCTGACGCAGGGCGCCACGCGACCCTGGGCGTGTTGCTGCTGTCGCTAAACTTGACCTCGCGGGCAGCTGGTTAGGAGAAGGGGAAGGGGGGGGAACCACCCCGCTTTGTTTTGACGGCTAGCTGGAATAGTCGGAAATTTCTCCCGCTCACTTCTGTAAAGTGATGTGAGCAAGGATCGATCGCGTTCACGCCCTGGACGAACAACTCGTCGTCGACGTGACGTCGCGATGCAATGGGCGGCGCGGCTGCCCTACGCCCGGGAAGGACGACGCCTCGAGCGCCTTGCCACCCAGATTACTTTTTTTATTCATGCCGAGTTGCAGGTTCAACTTCGTCGTGCCGAAGAGGCAAATTCGTGACAACTGACCGAATCCATATTTCATTATTTTACTGGTTTTGCCGGCGCAAGCTGAATACAATTACGAGAAATCCTTCTGCGGGCGTGGACCCGTCATGAGACTCCCACCTGTGCAGGCCAGGCAGCTGAAACATCAATCGCCCTGACTTTCTCCCAGCGGCATTAAACTTAATACCCCCCCCCCCTCCACTGCCACCCCCTCCAATTCCTATCAGCTGTCACCACGGTCACTCTTCCATCAACCATGCCGATGATAGCGTAATCATTTAGCATCGCGGTTTTTAAAAGCAAGCGTGGGGCGAGATTAAACTTTCTGTGGGTGCTCGTAACCTTAACTCCGCGCTTAAAAATAACACGAGGAGGAGGAGGTGGTGGCGGCGGTGGGGGGACTCGTGTCTACGGCCCGGCGGTGGCGGGCTGCGCCCCACTAGCGTGGCATTTATTCGCGGCCGCCCTCCCATTATAGCGCGGAGAGGATGCGAGAGCGGAGCCAGGACGCACGCGCCGACACGTGTGCCCCGCCACGCTCGCGGCGCAGTGAGCACCGCGTAAGCAGGTTACAGGATTAGCCACCGCGCACCGAGGGATTTCCCACTGGAGGGCCGCGAGAAGAGTGGGGGGAGGAGGAGTTTGGTTGGGGTGGGATAGAAATTGAGGGGAAAGGGAGGAGCAAATAATAGAATAAAATAAACGCCAGCTCAAAAAAAAAGTGCGGCTGGCGTGGAGAGATGGGGGGGGGGGGGTGGAGGCGCACGGACCCTCAAGGGGCAACAGCGTGAGCTCCGAGCCACCGCCGCACGTGTGCCCCCCCCCCCCACCACCAACACCCCCAGTGTGCCGCCCGTGCCAGCTGCCATCGGCCGCCCGGCGCCTAAAACCGCAGCACCAGATTGGATCTAGCCTGGGTGTGAGAGGAGCTGCATTGTCGGGCTGCGACATCTCGACCCCTTGCCGTTTCGCTGCGGCCCTGCCTAAGAGGAAGTCACCGGCTGGAGACTCTTATCGGCCAATTGAAATCAAAAGAGCCCCACAGAATTTAAGATTTGAAATGTTTATCGGCGTAATTGTGTTACGTTTTCAGTTGCTCGGATGATATTCATTTTCAAGTGCTACCCTAAGTTATATTTACTTTTGCCGCACGGAATACTTCATGCCGAGTAATTCTAAGCCAAAAATATATTATGAGACACTGTGGTCATGGCTTTCACTCGGTCAGCACAGGGGTCGGTAACGAGCGGCGCATTCAGTGGTGGCTGACGCTCAGGGTCTCAGAACACTGGGATGCAGGGCGGTTTCATTTGCAGGCAAGGTCTCAGAGGCTTCATTATCAGCTGTTCATAATAAAATGTTATAGACTCTTAGAATTCCTGGACAGAGCACGTCCGGGTCAAACCAACTTGGGTTACGTGGCCACATTTACAGCAGCCCTCTGTCCGGTCCACCTGCAGCCGTGCGTTTTTGCACCTTACCCCGCTGCACGTACGTCCCCCCCCCCAACCCCCCGCTGCTACTGCTGCGCTTTCCGGAACGGCAAACGCCGGCGTGCGTCCCCAGTGTTCCACAACCCTAAACGCTCCCCTCCTCCTCCGGCGGCGCAGCGCAAAGCGATGGCATGCAGCAGCAGTGGCAGTAAGCGATAGCGGAGCGAGAGAGATGAGAGGATCCCCCGAGGTTTGAGCACGATGGCAATAATGGAGACGGGGGGGTGGGGAGTCAAGGGGAAGAGAGGCGAGGGTAGAAGCGGTGGGGGGTGGGGGTAGGCTGGTACCTGCGTGGAACCCCCGTGCCTGTCAGCTGCCAGCTGCGCAGCCAAGTGCAAAGTGTTTGACTGTCGGCTAGGCTGGGATTCTCGCGATCCCTTGTGCTCGGGGGGCTGGCGTTTTTTTGCAAGCGTGCGAGAAGAGGAGGAAGGGACAAAACAAAAAACAACGAACAAAAAAAAGAAGATACGAGAAAGAAATAAAAAATAAAACAGGCGAGGTGCATCCGATGAGCTGTGAATGTCACTTTCATGCGAAGCAGCAAGTCGATTAGTGGCGTTGTTAGTGATCGTAAATCGGCGCGAGAGCACACGCGGGCCTGGAACGTAAAGTTGGCAGAGCAATCGTCTCTGACCAGTGGTGAGCTCTAGCGAAGCTCGCATGCAAAACTCAATCGCAAAGGAAACGTGAGCAAGCTGCCAAACTTGTTTTTGCAGCCTGCGCATTATATCAAGGGTTCCTATTTATAGGTCGACCTACAGGCAATATTACCTTCACAACAAATATACAATTTAAAACAAATATTCACGCTAATACCCATACTGACAGCAAAAACAACCAACAAAAAGTACATGTAGATTCATACCCTGTACTATAATGTCCATTCCTGTTCGCCGTATTTATTTTCCGTAATGTTTTTTGCTTTAAAAAACACAACTGTTGATTACCGCACAGAATTATGACCGTCTACGATGTACATTTCGTAGCATTAAGTCACAAATTCCCTGTCATGGCCCCAAACAAAAAATAATCTGAAATTCGCCAAACGTCAGATCGTAAAACCCTCTGGTGGTCTGGTACAAACTCATCGCTTCATCCAATTTGTGACGCAACCATAATCCCCGCGGGACAATTAGTAAACGCTATTTATAATCCTTTTTGAAAAAACGCTGTTCGCAGCCAGTACGCCCCACACGTTTCTTAGCAAATTGACACCGGAATAATCAATGTTTCATGTCATCGATAAATCAATAAGCTTTATTTAGAGAGCACGGCGGCAAGCCCACTGCTGACACTCGAGTCTCTCCGGCCTGGGTAACAAGCGGGAAGGCGATAACAGCTCCCGTAAGATGACGGGGAGCGTTGGCACGACAGTGGCGTGCATCTGCACTTCAAACACGTACACGTGTACGGCCGAGGGCAGTGCGGAAAGATCCACTGTTGTACTGTGCTACATTCCTACGTCTATGCATTCCCCAAGCCAGCCCCTGATATCTCCGGTCTACGAACGACATTCACGGAAGCGACGACACTACGACGATGAACCGTTTCCACGACAACGCAGCAATTGGCGGGCAACGGCGTGAGGCGGTGGTGAAATCTGTGGGAGGGGGGGGTGGCGGGCGGTGGAGGTGTGGCGGGGGGGGAGACGGCGGTGGAGGTGGTGCGGCACACGGTACCTGTGTCTTGGGCACGGGCTGCGGGCGGCTCGACGGGGGCACTGCCGATGGGTCCGCGTGGATGGAGGCGATGGGCGTGGGCTGTGCGGGACAGACACGCATGCAGTTTCACGTTCATCGCTGTTCGCGAGCACCTACGACCCTGAAATATCGATTTTCGTAGCCAATACAGGATAATCCATATTTGTATTTGCGTTGGAAGTTTAATGCCAAAAGTCTTGTCGTTAACCCTCCACCACCCAACAAGATTATCACGTTCACAAAGATATTGATAAGTGCCAATCTAATGATCAAATTATGACCAATAATGCATCTCCTTGTCACTGGTGGCTTAATACTTTTCATGAATGCACCGATAAAGCCGAACACGGCCCACGAGGGAGTAGTGTAGCCAGCACCACACCTGACTGCATCAGTCTCCCCAGTGCTGTTCTTTTCACAGCGCATTAAGTGCACATTTACGGCCGAGTCAATCTAGTGGAGGCTCAGGACCGGTTCAGACAACAGCCACCGATGTTGGCCGTAACTGGGAATCAAACTCAGGTTGCCAGCTTCGGAGTGCAGACAAAACTCCTGCGGGCCCGCCCGGCAAGGGGAAATACTCATCCAGCAGTGGATTAACGACTGTACACGTGCAAGCTATAACAATCACCCATTCGCTCGACCGCTCGCTCGCTCACTCACGGCTACACCCCGAGCAAATGCACGACCCGACGCGTCCGCAGTTCTTACGAGCGTTTTGCCGGTCCAGTCGTAGTTGTAGTCAAACGTGTAGCCCTTGCGCTCAAACAGGTCCATGAACAGCTTGCGCAGATACTCGTAATCGGGCTTCTCGAAAAAGTCGAGCCTCCTTACGTACCGCAGGTACGTGGCCATCTCCTCTGTGGCACGCACGCACAACACAAGTAGAGTGCGTGAGAATTACGCGGCGACGTGCATTGGGGGAACTCATTATTCCCGATATTCGCGATTTGTCTCCAACTCTCAACTGTTTGTGCGGCGTTCGACTCGAGGTGGAAACGTTAAGTAACGAAAGAGAGTCTTGAGACTGTAAGCATAACCACCATGTCTTCGTGGGAGCCTTTGCGCTGTAAAAACGGCGCGAATATCAAATGTACCGGTTGATATTATTTAGTTTGTATACATGTGTGCAGCGTCATGAACACTGTGTACACCTGTGCGTCTCAAAGCAATGACAATTCTGTAAGCATCGAAAGGAATTGGCAATGTCGACGCGTACAACGTGGTACTACTGTCACTGCACGTTACCAATGACTAACACAAGTGCCCGTCAAAGGACATCGAGGCCGTTGGCATGCGTCACGCCACACTGGCATTGTGTACGTGCCTCGCTGTGCAGTCATCACTTTGTACACGTGAATTGCGTAATGTGAGAGTACAATGCAAATGTATTTATGCGGCGTCTAAATGCAACTGCAAATTAATATTTTTTTACGGTTATTATTATTAAGTTTGTTTACCTGGGAAGGCCTCACCGAGTCGTCTCAAGATCCTGCAAGCTGTTCCCAGTAGGGGGCGATGTTGCGACGTGTAATCCAAATCGAGTAATTTGCAGGTACCAATTCAGTGTTGGGATGTTTGTGCAATACCAGCAACATTATATATATATTTATAATTTATCTATGAAACCGGAGACGCTGGTGGAAGCCCATGCAGAACAGGGGGAAGAACATATGAATTCCAGAGTAAAGGCGCGAGAGTCGGGAATTGAACCCAGGACATTCTTGCTGTAAGTCAGAAGTGTTACCGCTGGCGCCACCCTGCCACCAAACTCAGTGGGCAACGTTGTTTTTTTTTCTCTACTTCGAGGCAGCCGCCCACATTCGGAGACTTCTCACTTGTGGGACTCACCGGGGAAGCTTTCGCAGAGGACCTCGATGGGAGTGGCTCTCTTGGTGTCGCCAATCTTCTGGTACCGCTCCTTCAGGGTGTCAGCCTGTGGGGCAGCAACAAAGATAAAGACCCCCCCGCCCCGTAGAGCATTTAACAGACTGTTGGGGCAAGTGCCGTTTGCAAGTCGCACCTATGAAGACCGGCACAGCGCACGAGGGGGATGGCGCGGCTAGCACCACGCCCCGGCCACCTTGATCTCCGCAGTGGCGATGTCATTTACACACCGCACCAGGTACTCGTATATGGCCGAGTCGACGTAGGGCAGGCCCAGGACCGGTTCAGATATTCGTCACGCATGTTGGCCGTGAGCGGGAATCGAACTCGAGTCACACCAGGTTCGTACGCAGCGCGCTAACCGCTGCACTACCGCTGGGGAGCAATGCACACAACCACGTGGATTGCGGAGGGTTTGCGAGGGACCGAACAGCAAAATTTCACAAACACCAAAGGAAAATTGTCTCTTCTGTGCTCAAACTGACATAGGGAGGTGCTCATTCGCATTGGCGGTTCTAAGAAAATGGTGGAAATTCCACATTCCTACGGCTCGACCCAGACCCTCCCAAGGACAATCGCTGTTAATATATTTTGCTACAGCACCACCCAGCTGAGAGAGATATAATACTTTATATGCCCAAGATAAACTCAGCGAGTCTCAAGGTTGGTTGCATTCCTACAAAAGCCATGAAGACCATTGCTCAAAGACTGTATATCTCCACCGCTTATTTTAAAATAACACTTCTCACAATGGACACTTTAAGAGGACTCCGTCTGTGCAGTCGAGACATGCAGCAGCAGCAAAAAGTTACCAAAAGAATTTGGCGATGGGTAATTTGAAGAATTGTGACCACGTCACGGCACAAAATGGTCTATTTTTGAGAATGGCGATGATGATGTCACGGCATCGTTGTTGGCAGACTGCAGTCACACGGTAACTCACAAATTACAATGGAAATAGAACCTTCGACTTTGCGCAAACTAGCACGGTCATAAATGCAAAGATACGCGAGTTTTTATGGCTACCAGTTCGAATCAATGACCATCATTAATTCTATTTGTCACAATTGTAGCAAGGTTCTATCACAGCCAAAATGCATGGGTAGGGTGGTGGGGGGGGGGGGGGGAGTTGGCGGAAATTTGACTGGGCGGCAAAATCTGTCGTCACGCTGCTCAAAGCCAGCACGTGCACACAACGTCACTCACCACCACTCACCTTGAGACCCTGCCAAGGCAAGCTGCCTCGCAGGAAGTACATGAACATGTGACCAAGTGCTTCCAGGTCATCTCGCCTGCTTTGCTCTGAGGAAAGAAGAGTGGTGGAGGTGAGCGCATGGTTTGCCTGCATCGGCCGCGTTTCATCTTCACACGCCCACCCCGCCCCCCCATGGCGAGGCATTCACGTACCCGGCAAGCAACACCGCGCTGGGCGAAACGTACAGAGCGCAACGATGCGTTTTTTTTTCTTCGTAAATCGAATCTACGCAACGTGTTACGTCTTTTGCTCACACCGCATCGTCCCCACTGGCAATGGCACACAGTGTTTTTCAACCGTAACAACTCGCTCGGCGAGATTTTATATCGCGGCGGTGCAGTCCAACCGAACACACTCGGTCAATTCGCGTACGCTACATCGCTAACGAGCACATGAACATTGCTCCCACTTCACTCCCACCACCAACCCCCCATCACCAGCCCACCCACACAAATAGTCCGCTAAAATATCACGATTCAATCCTTGATCAAGAATCACACCGTGACACAGCACTAGAACAACTAACGCGGGACAGACAGACGGAACTATCTATAGAGTGGAGACTGGGAGGATGCGAAGGGGCCAGAGAAGCGGAGAAATTGTACAGCGGAAGAGACGGCAGCAGCGAGAAAATCAGAGAGAATGGGAGGAGGCCGCAACTGGGCCGGAGCAACTAAAGCCACGTAAATAATGGGGTAGCAAATGGGATTGGGGTGGGGGAGGGAGGCCTTAGCCTAGCAGTGGGAGATTATAAAGGCTGACCACAGCAACACGATCTGATTTGAGCGTTGATGGTTTTTGTATTGTAGGAGCTGCAAGGTTACAAGTTGAGAGGTGTCCTCGAAAAATCTTAATAACCCAAAAAATGTTAATGTCCAGAGATAATTCTTCTATTGAGAGTGGGTGGATTTACTCGATGAAAAAAAATCTAATTATTAAGTTAATTGTGCGACCATCTGGGAAGAGATGATATCAGAAAAAACTATTCAAGGTGGAGTGTAAAGTGTGTTCCCTTGAGGCTCACATTGCTAATTCTCAAATACATCTGTGGGTTATCAAGTTTTTTTAAGGTACCATGCATGTACCAATTAAAAACAACATATCATCAACAGCAGCATCAGCCATGATCAATCCACTGCTGGATGAAAAACCTCCCCCTTCCACCCCCCCCGATCCACCCCCAAAACGAATATAATCGATGGACGTATCAAGAGCAAAATAATCAATTTTAATCCACGAATCTTGGCATCATTACGTGTGTTAACTGCCAACGTCACCGACACGAACGATGTATGATATTAGCCAAAAGTGGCCCGCTTCTTCCGCACCAGGCTTCACGCTTGCCACGGAATCCTACCTATTGCACAACCCCTGGCCACCGCCCTCGTCGATAAACTCACACCACCGGTGGTGACATAAAAGCCACTCCTCCCCCCTTACTGCAGCCAAACTTGAGGAGGAGGAGGAGAATCTATTATCAAACAATTCCTGTTGCATTTCATCAAAGCCCGGTGGTGGGTGCGCAGCCGTCCGTTCCTGCTGCCCGTGTTTATTCACGGCCACGCTCGCTCTGCCAGCCACTCAAGGGTCCGTACAACAATGCGAAAAAGGTTCTAAAAATAAACCCGCGACCGACCTGCGCCTGTCGACGTGCATCCATTGTGTAGAGTTGGCGAGTTACATCTCGAGTCCGCGAGTGGCCTTATTTTAGAATTTCATAACTGCGCTGGCGCCGTCTCCACGAGTTTTTTTGTAAATGTGCTCGTGGACAGCAATGCATTGCGCCGGCGCGGTGCCGGGCTGCCTAACGCTGGGTCGGGCCCCACCGAGCCTCTGCATCGATCGACTGATTCTACTCAATTTTTACTTTGGACTCAAGCGGGGAAAACTGGGCGGTGAAATGTTGAAGGTGATAAGTTAGGATGAATTGGATAATGTGGATTTGAAGAACATTAAAAAGTAAAATAAAATAAAAATCACGACGTTTCGGAGGCAACACAAGCTTCCGTCTTCAAAACCCGGTGGTGTCGTGGCTGTGACGGTACCACCTGAAGACGGAAGCTTGTGTTGCCTCCGAAACGTCGTGATTTTTATTTTATTTTACTTTTTAATGTTTTTACCTACGTGACTTTACCGAAAAAACCTAAGAATATGAATCATTGCAGTCACGAAAGCTTCAAATCTAGAATAGATTTGAAGCGTTAAACCGTTTACATAATAACCCAGCGCTGGTGTCAGCTGTTTTTAAACACAAAATATACAGCAATGAGAAACAGTGCTGTATATTTCCCAGCCTTCAGCGCTATAGTAAACATTTTAGTCACACACACAAAGATCAACTGTTCATCGTGTTTCTCCTTACACATCACAGACTGTTACCAAGCACCCAATAAACCGACACACACAAGAGGGGGTGGGGTGGTGTTGTCAGCACTACACTCATCTGCCTTTGTTTCCCAAGTGCTGACGTTTATACACCACACCAGATACACTCTGAATGAGTCAGCCCAAGGGATGTTCCCATTTCACTCATCACTGACATTTGCCTGATTTTATTGGTGCCGTGTCCACGGTGATGTCCCCTTGCGCACATTCCCTCCTTCGACTGCCAGTCCAACTTTAGTCTTGACCACCTGCCATAAATCCCTTCTTGCCACATGTCCTGCTCAAGCCCACTTACTTTTCTCAACAGTCAACAGGAAACCTTTAACTTTTGTATGTTCTCTAATCCACGTGTTTCTCACTTTGCCTCTCAATATGAATGCAAGAACGCACCTCTCCGTGCTTCTTAGTGCACCTAGCAAGTTTTTTGCGCCAATTTTTTTCATTAAGATGCCATTAGCGAGCACCTGTAAGATGTACATTTCGCGCAATCCAGCCAAGTGGCGACACAACCCAACCACGTGGCAATAAACGGTCGGTCAATAAGTCAGTCGCTCGCCCGCTCACACCCGAGCAGGTACGGGCACGCACGCGCGCACGCGGACCCTCACCTTTGCCCAGGTGCGTGTTGATGCTCATGTATCGCGCGGTGCCCGTGAGGCTCTTGTGCTCGCGGTAGGGGATGTGCTTTTTGGTCTCGGGGTCGATGTACTCCTTGGCGAGGCCGAAGTCGATGATGTGGATGTTGTGGTGCTTGCTCGTGCCCTGCCGTCCCACCAGGAAGTTCTCTGGCTTCACGTCGCGGTAGATGAGGCTGCGCGAGTGCACGTACTCCATGCGGCTGATCTGAGGGCGTTGGTGCCACAGGGAAACCGCGGCAGACATTTAAACGGCAAGGCTGTCTACTTTTTTTTCATCCATCACGTCTCACGGCGAAAATACCAGGGGCCGAGTTTGAACCTGTTCTCAAAAAGGTTACGTGCATTATGCTGTAGGTATTAGCTAATCCAATGCCACAAGGCGCTTCATGAATACTTGAAATGTGCGCTCTCTTTTTGTCCCATAATGTTTCAGCGATACACGTCACTCGACGCACCTGTAGTTGACTCAAACTTACAATGTTCAAAGGATTCATCAGAATGTGTAATTAACAAGCTTGGACTTCGTCTGCTGCCGATGAAGACATTATTGCAGAAGACATAGTTTGTATTTCCGACAACAGGCCCATCTGTCCGTAGTAACATCACCCGAGCAAAGTTAACACACCGGCCACCAAGTCAATACAAAAAAAAGACTTGGCAAACACGCACAACCACATTCATGACCTTTAAATGTTGTCTTTCCTAATTCAAAGTCACATGGTGAAACATTTCTACTCAAACAAGCAATGGGGGTGGGGGGGGGGGGAGTAAACTTCATATTCATTGCAGTGGTGGAAATTCCACATGCACATGGCAGGGCCAGTTCTTCCACTGGATAACCACTGGGGTGAAGAAGTGGATAACAGTTTAGTGAGAAGTTCTTACGATTGTCCATGTACAACGATTTCCTATCCTTGCTTATGGCAAGATGGTTCAGGAGCTAAGTGCAAACGTTCAAGTCTGCTGGCCACGATGAGAGGGCTTCAGGAGGGAGTTCATGTCGTTTTGCTGCTCCTCCGTCAAAGCAGCACAGACAAGAATGATTTACGGCGTGATCGGTAATTTTGTTTGCGCGGCCACAGTCGCACTACTCGGGGATGTGCGCCGCAGGCCTGTTGATGCAACGATGCGCAACCGCAGCACTGCACCTCCTCCTTCGCAGCAGAGGCGATCGCCCAGCGTGACGCAATGCCGGCCGAGGAGGCGTGGCACACAAAAAAAACCAGACGTGAGCGCTGGCGTCCGTGACGCGCAGGGAAAACGAATAGCGCCTTGAAAACAATATATAATTTCGTGGCCCAGAGGCTGCGCAGTTAGAATAACAAACACCATAAAAAGCCAATGGCATGCTTTTGTATTTCAAAACACGTCAAGTGTGGGGAGTTTTAATTTTCTTTCACATGGCCTTTAAAACTCAAGCCTCGAAGGAGCAGAGTCAGGGCAAACAGAGCAAGGGGTACAGTAGGGGCATATGATAGGGGCTTTATTGGCTAACAAGAGTCAAAACATAATCTGTGAGTTTGGTCCAAAGTTTAATAGATGAGTAAGATAAGAAAGATAGGATGAATACGACAAAAGAGCAGGGGTGGGTGGAGCAGCAGGTGAAGGCAACGAGAGTCAAAATCTCTCAGTGGTAAACTACAAGAGAAGACTTTGGGGGTCAGGTGACAATTGCCTAACGGCTGCGGTGGCAAGGTGTGGTAACACGAATGTTATGGGCCATTCTTGTACTTATAAAGAAGTTTGTCTTTTTCGCAATATTATTCTCAATCGTACCGTCAGCACTGTGTCATTGGACAAAGGCATTTCCACTCAGAACTCCGCTAAAGCAGGGCATCGCCCCGTGTTAGAAAACAGCCCGCAGAAGGGGTTATCACAGAACTACATCTGAACTCCCTTCAAGTGATCTCTGATGCAGGTGAGGCATTCTGCACTTTCCACGCACCTCACCTGTAGAGCTGTCTGTAACATGGCAGTAATAGCAAAACGTATCATTCTCAGAGCTGTAACTTTGCCAAATTAAGTTAAAAACCAAATTTTATACGATAGGGTATTTTTTTTATCAAGTCAACGGTGACCAGGCTGCATAAATCAACACATTACACTTGACAATGCAGTTGAATGAAGGGTGGTTGAAACACCAGCTTTGAACCCAGGATGTCAGGATCTCGGCATTGCTGAGATCCTTGGTTGGAAACCTGGAATCAAACCCAGCATCTCAGCAACACCAGCTTGATGCCCCGACTTGTGGCCATATGGGAGTGGGGTGAGGGGCACGCGAGAGGTACTGCCATCACATCACCACAGTCCAGCACACTCACCAACTGCATGGCGATCATGAGCACCGTCTTGAGGGAGAAGGTGCGGTCGCAAAGATCAAACAGGTCCTCCAGGCTGGGCCCCAGCAGCTCCAGCACCATGGCGTTGTATTTGCCGCACGGCCCAAAGTAGTACACTTGGGGGACACCCTCTGCAGAGAACGACACAGACACCATCCAAGTTAAGCCTCGTATCGATCGGGGATGAAGCGCTGTTAGAGAGTGCTCGTTTTAGGGCCAGCAAATGGTGACTGAACGAACGCGAATCAGAGACGTCGTACTGACAGAGACAAGCAAACAGTGGGCTCGGGTGGGGCAAGTCGCTCGACGAAACAATGGCGGCTGGATGGGACTGGTGACAAACGACAGCCAACGAAGAGAACGCATTCCCGAGAGGACGACCCAGCGTGGAGATGGAGCGACAAAATCACTTCATGTCCAGGGGTGGAGATTGATGGGTGCGGGGATGGTCCATGAGGGATGGCGATGGAGTGTGGAGGCCTTCATCCCCACAGTGGAAAATGGCTGACGATAATGATGACAACGACGATGGAGTGGCTGGCCCATATCTCGACAGTGCTGAGGTGCATAACACCACCAGGCAGTCATTTGATGACAAGTTACCCTAAGGGAAATGTAAGACTATTCAGACACCACCTGTCGCTGGCCATGTCCGTGGCCTGGAATTAAACGCTGGTTGCCAAACCTTACCGTAGCAGTGCAAAAATCTCTCCACAAAAAGCAACAAATGCAAAGATCCCCCGTGAAGCCTTTAACAGGCTGTTGAGGCAAGTGCTGCGAGTGGGGAGCTATTAAGGCAGCACAGTGCAGTTGTTCACACACTGCATCAGACATACATATACATATAAAAGGCAAGTCAGCCTCGGGGAAAGGCCAAGGCCAGTATACATACCATTACCATTCGATATTAGCTGTGATCAGGAATTGGCCAGGTTCGCAGCACAGCGCGCTAAACCATTACACCACCCACTCCCCGCAAACAGCAACGCACTCAGTCCACACACCACACACCCTGGGGTCAGCGGGACCACAAGCAGGCGTGCATGGAAGCAAGGGGTCGGGGGCCTCCCAACAGAGGTCAGCCTCTTTGGAATGGCCACAGCAGCTGCCTGGGATTTCTGTTTGTTTGCTCGTCAAGACTTCACTTTCGCTTGCGGTCAGGAGGAAGCGGCGCTTGGGAGGTCAAAACAAGGAGGCAGACAAGGCACGCAAACACAGCCGGGGTTCACACAGATGGACAGGCACACACGCGCAGCACTGGGGGTTGTCCCAAAGTGGCTGGGTTGCCCTTCGAGAGTCCTCCCAAGCAATGGGCCGGCGTGCAAACAAACAAAAACAGAGCACCGGGTCAACAGACGGGACCAACACACAAAAAAGAAATTATGCTGAAATCGGGTTTTGTTGGGAGGGCCTAGCGAGAGGAGGGTTCAATCTGGACGGAGTAGGCGAAAAATGGTTCGGTGTTGGCAAGTCAGTGTCGACAACTTTTTTTACGAGAAAAGCAAGATCAGGATCAGAATATTGATTCATACTGGAGGAATCCGGTGAGCTATGAAGCTCTTTTTCACAGATGTCCAGTAGTAAGATGGAAACCCAGTCACTGTTCCCCTGCTCAAGTGAATAATGGTGCAGCATTCAACCTCTGTTGATGACGACCCTGGCCCTCCAACGACTGCTGCTCCCCAACAGCCGATTATATCCACCCCAGAGGGATAATGAAAATAACAGTGCCCTTTATATATACACACACACACATGCAGTGTGTATGAGCCTCGCATATTTTTCACCGTTGGAAGATTCGACTAATTCCATTAACTAGGGGTTGACGTGCCATGAAATCAGCGTACGGGGAGAAAACAGACACATAAGAGGGATAACCACTCAGAGCTCAGCACAGATGGACTCGATAATCCATTGCTTGTACCGTCATCTACTTGCAGTCAAGTTGGTTTGAGTTTCACAAATTAGCTAAGTCGACCTCCGACTGGGGAATTAACCTTCTGATCGCGAGTGGACCACTCTGACACAGTAACACCTGGAGTGTAATAACATACCCTCGAATGGCCACAAATATCTAGCTTTATCACAATAAACTCATAGATTTCCACACACACACAATTCAAAGACAATGATCTCCTAATCAGCCAGCCCGGCAAACCAAGCAGTATTGTTGATATCTATATTTCCAGCTGGGTAAAAACCATGAGATAGAAAAGCCCATTTAAATCGAAAGTTCACTGCTCACAAAGATCTTGGCAATGTATTTTTATATTAAAAACAAAGTGTGCTATTTTTCACCACTGCTACAAATTATTAAGTCCATCGGGGCGTTTATATGCCCAATGCTTTAGTGTTTCGAAAAATAAAAAGTTTACATTACGCTTCGGCAACCTTCGCTGAAGTGTACAGTTTGTACACTTGCAATCGTTGAAGAAGATGAAAGACCACGAACTTGCCAACGCTAAATTTCTCTGAAACACAAAACGCTCGGTACGGAGGGAAAACCTTTCACCTGGCGAGGCTGTCGCGCTCTCCGATGCCCACAAAAGACTTCCCAGGACGACATTTGATAACCGTGCGACAACGCTTTGATCCATCGACTACGATCGATTATTGTGCTCACGACTCGCACATTGAATTGCGCGGGCGGGAATCCGTTATTTACTCATCTGCACAAATTGTTATATTAGCCGGACCGTGAGAGATGACAACGGCTTTGGAAGGTCATGATCAATCCAGCAGCGGAATGGATCATGTCTGATGATGATGATGACTTGTAAAGGAGAAATTACGTACAAGTGTTACATTTTAGGGGAATGGCCCAAACAATATAGTACGTGGTAGAAAATGAATTGGGGGGAAAACACAAACGAGATGATAAACATGAGATGCAAAAGGAATTGAACTGTAACCCAGAATCGTGACAACATTTATCAAATCACTGGGGGGGGGGGGGGAGTGAAGGTGCAGGCAGGGTGAATCATTTTCCATCTATAAATTGAGAGGCAAGCAGAGGCACATACAAAGACCCCTCATATAGCCTCAAAAGACTGTTGGTGCAAGTGCTGTTAGCGAGCACCTATGAAGGCTGGCACGGCGCGCGAGGGGGTGGGTGGCCAGCACCACGCCCGACCTTTTCTCTCTAGTGGCGATATTTACAAACTGCGCTAGGTACCTATTTGAGGCCGAGTCGACCTAGGGGAGGCCCAGGACCGGTTCAGATAATCGTCACTGGTGACTAGTGGCCGTGAGCGGGATTCTAACTCGGGTTGCCGGGTTCATAGTGCAGCGCGCTAACTGATACACTACCGCTCCCCACAGGGGCACACAAAGACAAAGATCCCCCGTATAGCCTTGACAGACTGTAGGGGCAAGTGCTGTTAGCGAGCACCTATGAAGGCCGGAACGGTACACGAGGGGGTGGGTGGCCAGCACCATGCCCGACCGCCTTTGTCTCCCCAGTGGTGATGTTTGCACACCGCACCAGGTACTCATTTGAGGCTGAGTCGACCTAGGAGAGGCCCAGGACCGGCTCAGATAATCGTCACCGGTGTTGGCCGTGAGCGGGAATTGAAACCAGATCGCCGGGTTCATAGCGCAGCGCGCTAACCACTACACTACCACTCCCCACAGGGGCACACAGACATACACACACAGACAGACACACAGACAGACACACAGATAGACTCCGCATGGCACATAGACATGAAAGCGCCCTCTCCACTCACACTGGGGCACCTGAATAAGCTCTGCCACCTCCTCCCAACATCACTGCAGTGTTTTCTTTTCATCTATTTTTTTATTACGCTCTTTTTCCCTTCCATTTATAATGTACTTACGTGTCATCCGGTTATCCTTGTGTATACCCAAAAGCTCTTTCCGGGTAATAAAGATATCAGATTCTACCTACGATGCTCATGGATAAATGTAACCAATATAAAGATGTAAAGTAACCGATATGAAGATGCATTTTCAGACCGGAATGAGTGAGTTCGTTCAGATTGATGGGGAGTAAAATTTTAGATGTGCTAAATTACTGAGGCTACTGGCCTACTTGTACAGATGTTGTTATGAGCATGGGCAAACCAGTTTTCCCCCCATACCAACCGAAAATACACTGTAAAGAATTGTAAACATCCCCAGCAAACACACCTTCTGAAACAAACAACTTGAGACTCACTCCATGCTTTCTTTGACAAAGGACTCTCATTTATCATCATCACATCATCATCATAAGCCATGACGATCGTTTATCATTAACCATTATCAAGCCACTGCTGGATGAAGGCCTCAACAATCAGTCTCCATGTCCGACAAATCTGTGATGCAACAATAGAAGAATTTAGCAACTGCGCGCGTGCTCATTTCATCGCTCGATCTCCACAGTGCACGTGCGCTCGGGAACGTTGCCCTTACTTGGAAAATCATTCGTACTGCACAAAATGTATCATCCGCTGTCACTGCAGATGATGGGCAATAGCAAATTGTTTTTTATTAACCCTTTCCCATTCCTATGGCGTACACACATCACTACTGTGCCACGCACATGCGCATCAGTTTTTCTTCCGATTCCGTTCCGATGACGTCCACGCAAGAAAAAAGGCCATGCGTGAGGGCGTGCGGCGCGCTATGCATCCGTGAATAGAGTTAACGCAACTAAACCGCTCGCGCGCCCCGAGATTCGGCGGTGGATGGGACCCCCACCCCGCAAATTGCAGAAATTTAGGAACGGGAAAAGGTCAATTGGTTAAGTAAGGAAACATGCAACGGGGTCGGTGTATCACCACAACGAAAGTGTCATTGTTTTATTGTCAGTAGAGGATGAAAAAAAAGAGACGCGTCTCTTTACTTATTCATCGTTGTTATTATTTTTATACAACCGCAACATGTTTTTTTTTTCGCCTGGAGTCGCGACGACGCTGTAAACGTCACGCAGGCCACTGCCACCGCTGCCCGTGTGGGCACTGCGCGTGAAAAACAACACCGCAGATCCTGGAAAACCTGCAGCCTGGCCCGGAATAGTCGCGGTCGTGCCAGCCACACACCAACGCTGGACCGTCAGAGGCACTTTGATAACACACTTGCGTGCATTCGGTACGCTGATTAACTTCCCATGAGAATACCTTCATCA